TTTCAAGGGGGCCTGAAAACCTACCAGAGTTCAGGAACCCAGCCAGCCTGGCACCCAGAAGGGCAACCCCACCTCTTCCAGTCCCAGGCCTCTCCTCTACAACCCCAGGGATACCCCACACTACACAGTCCTCTACTGGGACCAATATGGTAAACTGATAAGCCTCCCCAAGAGGCAGGAGCCCCCCTTAAAAAGGGAGGAGTCTACAGAGTGCTTTGAGGGTTCCTGGCACAGTTAAGATATCAACACTTAATGAAATATTTCTTTGTTTAAATAGTCATTTATCTTGAGGAACAGGGGCCTTTGTGGAAAAGGGAGAAAAAGCTGCCCCTGCCATCCCTTCCCTCCCTTCCCATCTCCACCCAGCACAGATACTGGGGTCTTTCTGAGTTTGAAAGGCTTGGGAAGCAGAGTACATGAAGAGGGGAGAAGATTCCAAAGAGGAGGGGGTAAGACAAATAATTTGCCTAAGCAGGAGGCAAATGGGGAGGGGGATCACAGAAAGAAGACCTCTCCACAGCCCAACCATAATGGCCAAACATGGATACAAATCTGATTGTCCATTAGGAGAGAGGCTGGGTAAAGAAACAGGGGCACGCTGGTATCATAGAATGCTCCCTGGCAGTCTCTCAAATAAATGAGGTAGAGATGCAGGTAACAAACCTGAATGCATCTGCAACATGAAAGTTGAGAAAAACATAAGTAGTGTATGCTGACTCATATCTGTAATCCTAGCACTCAGGAGCACAGACAGGTAGGAGGATCAGGAGTTCAAGATCAGCCTGGGCTACATGGCAAACACTTGTCTCAAAAAAACAAAATGAAACCGAACACACAAGTGAACACATGGGGCAAAAAGATACCTTTAACTTAATTTTTATTGATTTGGTTTTTTCCAGGGCTGGTGACCAAACCCTGGGCCTCACACATGCTAGGCAAGCACTCTACCACTAAGTGACACCCCAGCCCTTACATGACATTTTAAGATACCCAAGCAGTACTAAATATTAAGAGCATAAAACTTACGTGGCGCTGGGTGCCAGTGGCTCACGCCTGTAATCCTAGCTACTCAGGAGGCAGAGATCGAGAGTATCGAGGTTCAAAGCCAGCCTGGGCAAATAGTTCATGAGACCCCATCTTGAAAAAAACCCTTCACAAAAATCGGGCTGCCTGTGTGGCTCAAGGTGAAGGCTATGAGTTCAAGCCCCAGTACTGCAAAAAGAAAACCTTATGTGGCAAGGCCAACTTTAGGGAACTGGTTACCCGTGGCAGGAGGTTAAGAATAGAGAAGGATGGAGAAAGGGACCCCCCACACACACCCCTGAGTGGGAGTGGCTCTCCCAAATTCTGATATCATCAATTAATCTGGTTGGCTTTTAAGTTTCAGATCAATGTTTTCTGCTGTCTGGCATTTACACTCAACACTCTTCGTGAGATTTGTTGAATGTGATGATGGTTTATTCATTCTCATTGCAAAGTACCATTCTCACATGTGAGAAGACCAGGATTTATTTTTTTATTCTACTATTATTGGCTATTAGAATAGCCGATGAGTGGGAATAGATGGTACAGTGTTGTAGTACACAACTTTTGAACATACATATGTATGCGTTCTCTTGGTATGTACTTAGGAGTATAGGTGCTGTATTTTGTTAATAAAGTCCTATTTCTTAATAACTTTTCATTTTGTTTTGTTTTTTGTAAGGTACAAGCATTTGAACTCAGGGCTTCACCCTTGTTCTACTCCACCAGCCCTTTTTTTTGTTGGGTATTTTTGAGGTTGGGTCTTGCTTTTTGCCTGGGCTGGCTTCTAAACATGATCCTCCTGATCTCTGCCTCCTGAGGAGCTAGGATTACAGGCGTGAGCCACGAGTGCCCAGTATATTCCTTAATAACTAAAACAATGTTCTTGAGGAAAAGGAGGCAATATTTAAGCAGTCAGATGAATGGAAACATAAAGTATTTGGGTCTAGGTATGTTGAAACTGTAGGAATAAGGAGAGTAATGTTTCCAAATATAGATCCACCACCACCATCGTCATCCCCTTCCAAGTGGTGGCCTGCACAGCAGTAGGAACAAGCTCACTGATTGGCCAATTTCATGGCCATCCCAGGGCAGCAACTGACTCTGGGAAGAGCATCTATTTGGAGCACAGAGACCTGACAGCAAGCCCTTGCTGCACTGCCTCCTAGCTGTGTGGTTGAAGACACGTTATCTGACCTCTCTCTGAGCCTCATACTGGATTGGCAGCTTTTGAGGTCAGTGTTCCTTGCTTTTAGGTGAGGAAACTGGGGATCAACATATATGAATAACACTCAAGGACCAGGTCCCCAGGCCAGACGTGCTGCCCAGGCCTTTTCATGTTATCCCCCCAAAGAGGCATCCTCCTGATTTTGTGGATGAAGGAACTGAGGTTCAGACATGTAACATGCCTAGGTCACACACAAGTAAGGGGGCAGAGACTAAAGTTCAACCCCAAGCTGCCTGACTCCAGCTCCCCATGCTCCTAACCTTGGCCTCCCTAGTAGGGGCAGGGCACCTGCTTTGGTTCCTGCCACCACCTGAGCCTCAACACCTGCCCTGTATCCTGTGACAGGCCAAGGACAGTCACTTCCCCTTAGGGTCAAAGACTCCTCTCTGGAACCTTCTTACAAAGTTCTTGCACCAGGAAGAAGGGCTCTGAACTGGCTTCTGTGACTTGGGAACCTTTGCTCTGTATGTTTCTTTGGAGGCGTTTTGTTTTCCTTACTGAAACACTCTGTAGTGAGGACAAGAAGGGGTCTTCTGACTCCTTTGGGCTTTCCACTGTACTCCCAGGGCTCTGTGGAGTGAAGGGGCCTGGAGATGAAGGACAAGCTGAAACGAAAGCAAAAGCATTCTCAGTAAGTCATGCAGGAGGTGCAGGGGGCTGCTGCAGGAAGGTGTTGGGGCAGGGTCTAGTGAGTATGACAACAGCACACTCCATACAGCAATCCCTTATCCTAAAGTGTAGAGTCACTAGCCCAGCTGGTAGACCTGCCACTTCAGGCTCTGCCCAGGGTTGTCTGCTTACCATGATGTCCACCAAGCTGACTCTCCACAGAAGATAAAGATGTCCAGGAGCGGCTTCCAGTCCTTGCCCAAGTTGGAATCCTGCTCTATCACTTACCAGCTGTGTAAGCCTGGGCAAGTGACAAAGAGCTTTCTGGGCCTCAGTTTCCTCCTCTATAAAATGGAGGTAACAGAACTATCTGCACAGTGATTCCAGGTCCCCATCACCAAGGGAGGACCCTGCTGTGGGGTGAAGGTAGGAAGGCAGTGGCTCTGGAAGGCCACAATCTCATAGGGTTACAGTGAAGGTTAAATGAGTCACCGTGCCTGGCATACGGTGTAGCTCACACATTACCTGTTATTTATGCTACTGCTATTGGTATACTTGAAAGGTCACTGTCATATCCAAATACACGGCACTGGGTTTCGTGTGTGGCTCAGTTGTAGAGCATGTGTTCAGCATTCTCAAGACCCTGGGTTCGAGCTCCAGCAGCACACATAACTAAATAAATGGAACTGAGAGCCCACTTCACTCCTACATGTCTGCAAGGCTTCACCAGGACCTACATATGCCTGTCACACACCTGCCCTACTGGGCAAATACAGACCTACCTGTGGCAGGTATCAGATTACAACTACTTCTGCTATTTCTCCCACAGAAAAAGGACAGAAGTGAGACAGCAAATCAGGAGGCTCCTCTCTGAGATTCCTTATTTCAGGCCCCATTTGAAAGGCCTTCCCTGAGAAACTCACCTTCCCAGGCCACCAGACACAGTCTTTGCCCAGCTCAACCTTCCCAGGGGCGTCACGTTGTCTGCCCCTTGTCCACCTACCTCAGGTGGCTTGGGGCCAAGAAGACCTTCCAGAGCCACTGCCTTCCTGCCGTCATCCCACAGCAGGGTCCTCTCTTGGTCGTGGAGACCTGGCGTCACTGTGCAGTGTGGGGGCATTCATGGATGGTCGCTGATGCATCTCTCGCCACCCCCCACTCATGCTCCCTGCTCCCCACCCACATTACACACACTGAAGATGAGGAGGATTTATCCAGCTCTCCACTGTCTCTGAGTGGGGTGTCTGCCACCTGACATAGCCCTTCCCCTTGGACGTGAGTCCTTCCAACACCTCCCCCCCCCATCCCTGGCAGAAGCGGCATTCAGAGACGCTGTTTCGTTTACAATCTGTAACAAATCTGTAATTTGCACAGATAATTGCCTCGCGTGGATTCAGCATTGGGCCCCTTCTTCCCTAATTCTCATAGCACTTTACGGGAAATTCCCCTTTGCAGACGGAGGCAGCGCGTGCGGGGGATAAGAGGGGTGACTGTTCACAAAAGCCCAGAGGAGCCTCCCCACCCCCACCCCCGCTTCAGAAAGCCCACCCCCAGCTCCCGTGCAGTGGGGAGTCGGAGGGAGGCAAGGCAGTGCCCTCCCTCGCCGGACGCCCGCTCGGGACTCGGTCCCCTCCCCACCCCACCCCCGCCACTCCCCACGCCTGGCGCAGTCCGCCGGGAACCAGTGAACCGTGTGGGAGCAGAACTTGGCAGTACCGCCACACTCTCGGGAAAGGCCCGAGTTTGCAAAGCGCGCCACAGGAGTGGGCCAGGCCAGAGTGAATGTCTGGGGTCTCTCTGACTACCCGGTTATGCAGATCTGTAGCAACACGTCCTCTCCCCACGTCCCCCTTTTTCCTCCCCTAAAGTTTGGTCCACGTGGTCTTCTCTCGCTTGCGGCTGGCCGCCTCGCGCGGTGAAAGTGGCTGCACCTGCTTTAGGCGAATTATGGTAGCACTAGAAGTTGGTCTCTCCTCCCTCCGCCGCTCACTCGCTCGCTCGCTCGCTCGCTCTCTCGCTGGCTCCCTCCTCCCCGGCGCTCCGCGCGCTCCCTCCTTCCCTCCACCCCGCCCGTCCCCCGCCCCCTCCCGCCCCGCCCGCGCGCCGCGCGCTCGCAGCCACTCGCAGCCCCGGCTCAGTCGCAGCCCCTCGGAGTCCGGAGCCGGCCGCCCCTGCGGAGCGGACAGTGCGGCCGGCGGCCGGGACAGAGCCCCCCAGCCCGCGAGGAGGGCGCGGCGCAGGCGGCGGCGGCGCGGCGGGAGGAGCCCGGGCCGGAACCAGGGCTGGGCCGAGGGCGGGGACGCCGGGGTCCCGGAGCCCGGGAGCCGGAGCTAGCTAACGAACGTCGCGGGAGGACCGGGAAGGAGGAGCGGAGCCAGGGCGAGCCGAGCTACTCACAAAGTGCGATGGCCCGGCGGGGCTGAGGCGCGCGGCGGTCGGCGCGGCGCGCGGGGAGGACGCCCGAGAGCTGCGCGGCGCGGGGCGGCGCGGAGGGGCAGCCCAGGCGGGCGGCGGCGGGCCCGGGCTGCGACCCGAGCGTGCCCCATGCCCTGCGCGGGCTGACGGGCCGGAGCCCGCACGGAGCGGCTGGGCGGGACAGGTAGGTGGCGGGTCGGGGCCCGGGGACGCGGGTGGGGGCTGGGCCGACGACCAGACCAACTCCCTAGCTCGCTCACTCTCTCGCCCGCTCACTGGCTCACTTTGTGTTTGCAAACTGCCCGCCGGAGACGCGCCGGGCGCCGGGAGGAGCCGGGCCCGGGCCGGCGCACTTTGTTCCAGCCGGAGGTGGCCGTGACGCGGAGACCCCGGGGAGCCTCGAGACCCCGCCCCGGGCCCTGGTCTCCGCGGTCCCGAGCTGCCCTGGGAACAGGTGGGGGCTACGGCGCGGCGACGGGGTGGGGGGAGGTAACCAGAGGCCCGCGGGGGGGGAGGTTGCTGGAGTGGCCACTGAGGCCCGCCCTGCCCCAAGAATCTGGGCTCCGCCCCCCTTCCAGCTTCGCAGCTGGGAATGGGGTGTAAGGGGGCGCACCCCCCCCCCCGAAGCCCCGAGTCAGACAAAGAATACTTCCCGGCCCGGACTTTCCTGAGCTAAGGGAAGTGGTGAAGTGGGATCCCCCAACTCCAGTCTGCATGGGACTCCCCAAGACTCTCCAGAGGCACAGGGACTAGAGGGGGGATCAAAGTCTCATCTACCGCGTCTCCTTGGGTGAAGAGGGTACTATCTTGCTGAGGTCGCATCTCGAAAGTCCCGGGACCCGTCAACCCTCGTTCCCGCATCCCTCATTCAACTTGGAAATAGACCGGAAAACTTCTTGGGGACTTGAGAACGCCTAGAAATGGCCACCGTGATTTTTGTGAGCCGCAGCTGGAGGGTGGGGGACCGGCCTGGCGGATACCTCTATTCACCCCACTACGGGAGAGCTCCCGACGTGCAATGGGGGGAAGAAGGCAAAGGCAAGGCCGGAGGCCACCAGAGAAGAGGGCACTGGAGTGACCAAGCAAGACCCCATCTTCCCAGACTGAGGACTCTAATGTCTGTTTTGGACACCCTCTCCGTCCCTCCGCAACACCTCTCCGACCCGCGGCGACCTCGGCGGCGTTCCAATCTCTCGCTCCGCTTCAACCCGAAACGAACTTCCTTGGGCTGCGCGGTTGCAGAGCCCGTGGCGTTAGAATGAGGGGTGCTCCGAAAGACCTGGGGTCCCGGCCACCCGGCGGAAGGATTGTGTGATTTCGCGGTATGCGGTTGCTCATACAGACTCTGACGGCGCGTTATTCCCTCTCCCCCAACTGGGGAGACCTCGTGAACACAGCCAGATCACACCCTAAACTCTAGGTTGAGAGAACCTAGAGAACCTAGTTGTGCTCAGAGAGCCCTCGTTTTTCCCTTGCATCCTGGCCTTTCTTGCCAACCCAGCCGGCGGGTTTCCTCGATCCTTCGCACCTGGGATTTAAGGCAACTGGAGATCGGCAAGTGTGAAGCACACCCGCCAGCGTCTTGCCAGTTGACCGGGGTACCCAGAGCTTGGGGGGTAGGAGTGGGGGCCCGGAGGAGTGAATCTGAGTCTGAAGCCATCATTCAGTGGTTCCCGAGAAAGTCCAGGAACGCTTTGGCCAATGCGGGATTTTACCTGAACTTCAGTATCTTTGCCCCTGTTTAAAAGGACCAGCCTGGATTCGTCCCTAACCCAACTTGGGTCTGGAATTGAGGGTCTCGGAGAGCGCAGCCTGAGGGGCAGTTGCTGTGGTTCCACCGAGGGCCCTTTCTCCCGAAGGAAGGAGAGAAGCAGGGATGGTCTACACGCCAGTGACTGCGGCAGGGCCCTTGCGGTCCCACCGCCCAGCTTGCCCCAGAAGCTCACTTTGCGGGGATCAGAGAACCCCGACAGATTGGTCCTTTGGCCTCCATGCCCTGCTGCGTGGAATTTTGAGACCCCCTCCAATTGGCAAAACTGGGAGAAGTTGTTTCAAGGGGAGCCACGGGTCTCTGACAACTTCTATTTGCAGCTCACCCCCCACGGGGGCTTTTTTTTTTTTTTTTTTTTTAAACTGGAGAAATTTTGTGTTGCCTTAGGATTTCTGGGGCTCTTTGCCACCTGGTAGGGGAAGGGAGGGCACAAGGATGGTGCTGAGGGGCACCTGGAGGGCTTACAGGCTGCCTTGGTTCCCTAGACCTGAGACTGCATTGGAGGGCTCTCTAACTGGTGTGGCTTCCACTTTGGTCAGTAGGGCAAGGTAGCATGGGGAAGAGGGGGCTTGTGCTCTCCCACGCCCTCTCAGGCCCCTACTTTACCCTGGCACTAAGCCCTGGGCCTCCGGCTGAGGTTTTCTGTCTTCCCATTTGTGGGAGTTTTCCCAGGGGTCGTGCAGTTGGGGAACTCCTGAACCCTGGGAAGGGAAAGACCTGATGCCACTGCTGGAGAACACAGGGGCAGGGCAGGCTGGGCCCAGCCTGCCTGGAACCTGCCCCTGTTTCTGTCTGAGTAGCTGCCCTTCTCACCTAGACACCTCCAACCCCCTTCTCTGCCTTTGGCCTGAAACTTCCTTTTTGGCTGTAGGCAGGTAAGTCCCTTCTTGCCAGGAATGTGCTATCCTGCTGGGCCCCTACTCCAAACACACCTCTTCCTTTGGGAGGAGGAAAGCAGGATGACTTTGGGGGATGGTTCTTTTGATCCAGTAATTCCCCAAATGTTTGCTGAGTCCTTATTCTGTCTGGGCAGGTCCCAGGCTGGGTCTTGGAGGTACCCAAGTGATGAAGGCTGGGGTCTGCTCTCTGGACCTCATAGTTTCGGCTTAGGAGAGACTGATAGAATGGGGGCAGGGAATCTGTTTCCCAGAGGGGTGTGAGGTGCTGTGGGAGGCATGGGACAACTCCCCAAGAAGCCTCCCTTGCTCTACAAACTGCCCCTCCTTCCCTACATCTTAACCCTTTGCTGCTTGCCTACTACTTTGGAGGTTCCCTAGAGGCCTGCTGTCCCCACAGCTAGCCTAGTGCTGCTTGCCTACTACCTTGGAGGTTCCCTAGAGGCCTGCTGTCCCCACAGCTAGCCGTAGTGCTGCTTGCCTACTACCTTGGAGGTTCCCTAGAGGCCTGCTGTCCCCACAGCTAGCTGTAGTGCATTCCAAGCAAGCACAATATCTTCACCTTTCTTACAGCCCAAACTCTGTGAGCTAATACTGTTTTCCATCCCAGGGGCTCCTCCACCTCTTTCCCTTGCATCCTTCCCTCCTTCCAGTTTCCCCAGGCCAAGGACGGCCTGGACTCTGTGGCTCCATTGGCTGAAATGGCTTCCTTATACTTGATTCCAGAACTCTGGAACCCAGGTGAGGAACTTGGACCTCCCCAGGGCAAAACGCATATCAGAGTGGAAAAGGCTTTGGAACTTGGCAATGGAGGTGGGACTCTGGGGAACTTAATTAAGCTCCGCAAACCTCAATTTTCTAAAGTAGGTCAATAATACCCAGTGTAGAGACTCAGCTTGGGAGTTGAATGAGAGGTAAGTTCCTAGCATGATGCCTGGCTGGCTTGGCCATAGGAGTGCCCATCCAGGTATGCCTTTTTTTTTTTTTTTTTTTAAATTTATCAACACTGGTAGACCACTTATTGGGCTGAATACTGGAGTACTATCCTTCATTTTGTAGGCTGGAAAATGAAGCCAGAGAGAAGAGGTGACTTGTCTGAGGTTACACAGTTACTCAGCAGCAGAGTTAAGTCTAAATGTAGCAGGACTTGAGCATATGCTATGGACAAGGAAGAAAGGAAGGGATGGAGGGACCACAACCCACTTTGCCTCCTTCACCAGCTTAGCTGAGCCTCCTTTCTTCACTCTAGTGCCTAGAAGAACGTACTTCCCTTTGTCTCTAACTTTAGGGAGGATCTGGGTGCAGAACCTGACATCCTGCCACTCCAAAACCCTCCTGCACACACCCTGGAGTGCCCCCTAGGCACTCTTAAGGTTTAAATGTAGTTAAATATCAATGAAAGAATTCCTCAGAGCACAGAGGAGGAAAAATTATTTCTACCCCTTCTCTTCAAAAGAAGAGGATCCTAGCATTTATAAAGTGCAGTCCTTACATCCTTATGAAAGCAGTTTGGCAGCGAGTCTCAGTCTGACTTGGGGACCTATCACTGAATGGATCATCTCAAAGAGGCGAAAAGAACCTTCCCTTGACCTCAAAGTCATTGCCTTCCTGGATTCACTGTGGAAATGCACACCTTCATTCGCTGCAGGTTCTGCCCAGAGGGATCACAGTAGAAAGCCTTTTTTCTCTATCCTCTGAACTTTGTGGCAGAGCCTGAACTCAGAGAACACTGTTGCTCTGGAAAATAGAGCTGAGATACAAAAGGTACCATCTGCATAGGGCCACATGGTGCTGGGCCAGAGAGAGTGTCAGAGCCTGTGGTGTGTCTAGGCCTGGGCCTGGCCAGTGCCCTCCCTTGCCTGGATCTGTGCTCCTAGGACTACCCCCATCTTTTCTCCACATCCCCATCTAGTGAAGCCCTTCATCTTTCTTCTTTCCAGCCTAGGTGGTATCCCTGCCTCCCGGGCCCCTTACCCTGTGCAATTGATGCCTCTGATGCGTGGGGTCCATTGGTGGTACAAGATAGAGTTAGAGTGTTTTCTTTCCCACTGGAGGCGTCTCTGATGCACTGACCTGGGATACCATCTAAATAGGCAGGGGGAGTGAATGGTGGATTTCCCTAGACAATAACAAAAGTATGTAGAATGAAGACCCTCAGGCATTTGACCAAGGTAGGCAGGGATGGTGGGTACACAAGTGGCCAGAATTCCCCACACACACACCCTGTGCCAGGGAAAAAAATCAGGGCCTCACCCATGCCCATGAACTCTGGCAGGAAAGGGGAAGGAAAAATGATGGCTTCTGAGGGCAGGATGACTTAGGGAATGGAGACAGGGCTCCTAGTTCTGTCCATTCTACAAACACTGGAAGGACCCAGTGAAGAGGTGAAATAAGAGAAGACTTGCTTGCAACTTGGAAAATCCAAAATGACCAAGTGCAAAAACCTCGACCATTTGGATGGGTGCTGCCCGGGTGAGGCAAGCTGGGGTCCTGTGACAGGGGGCATGTGCCTGTGGA